GCACTTTGACAGCTTTGTGGCGCCGCAGCAATGCCTGCAGCGTTGCAATGAGTGTCACGGCTAGTGTGGACAGTCAAATGGGAGTCATGAACAAGACATTCGGGCCACTGGTGTGGACAGTCATGGGGTTCATGGACTGGACACTGAGACACTGCAGTGTTTTTCAATGAAATCCAAGACACACGAACGGGCCGGTAGTGGAATAGAAGGCTGCTGGTTGGCTGTTCCACCACCCAATAGCATCCCTTGCGAAAGGCCAGTTCCAGCCTAAGAGACTAGCTTCTTTTCCAAAAAGATCACGCATGGGTTTCCATGAGCTAGGTGCTAGGTTGCTTATCTGATATGATGGGCCTTGCAACCCTTGAAAAAACAATCCTTCCATCTATCACACAACTTGTTCACCCCATGAGTTTTTGAACTTGGGGCCCCAATGTTGGCTGTACTGCATCGGGAGAATTGCAGTCAAAGAGCAAGTAGCACAACCTCCGCGCCATAGCGTTGCCCTTCCGGGTACACTTGAGATGGGACCAACCTTGTGGCCGAAGCAAATGCCGCTTTGTTGAGCCCCTGCTCCTGGCAGATAGATGAACCACCCGCATGTGCTCTCGTGGAAACGCAACATACATGTTGTGTAGTTCCGTTTTTTTGGAAAACAGCGTTGGAAGTCAAGGAACATAAACACCCAGCTTGAGCATGGAATGCCCACCCACACAGAACACCAGATTGTCGAAGATGGCGTATCTAAGGAACGCAGTCTTTGAGAAGAATGAAATTGTGCAAATTTCTGGACCTATGCGCTGGCACATTCATTAACTTTCAGGCCAGGGGCATAGTTCGCTGCCAGCAAGAACCCAAAGGAGCTGAGTAGATCCATTTTTCTCGAGTACGATACCTCACGCGTATGATATGCGTATGAAGCCCGACCAGCCTTTAACTTTTGCAACTGTAGTGCACGGACCCACACAAACACCGAGAACAATAAACAATCGTCAACTGTCGACCAAAGTTTCTTCAACGCGTTGACAAATGAGACGCTGAAACAAACATTTGTCGATTTGTTTCAATCCAAAACAAGTGTTGAGGCTGCGGACTCCAAAACCTTGCTGGATATACCTGCGAGATGCATCGTAGGCACGGGAGGACAGGCCGCTCAGCTGGATGCCGGAGTGGAGAAGGTGGTCGCCTCCCACATGGGTTGTTGGGAGCGGCGCCATTGGGTCTGTACATAGTTGTGGGTTTATTCTTGCCTGCACACAGTTCCACAAAATGAGATGCTTGTAGTTCATCCACATCCCCCAAACCTGAACAGGAAATAGGTTCAGCGGGATGTGACATATATTGGTGCTATCTACCATTGATGTTACATGCGTTGCACTTCACATCGTTTGGGTTCATATGCAGTCAAGACACTCTTCAGGAGACAGGTCAATAGGACAGCGAGTTGGCTGTAACGCATCGAACACACAGGACCCAACGCCGAAGCGGGCCGACAGAGCCAATCTCAAAAGGAGCGAAAAACGGCAAGCGCATCTAAACGCTAAATGCACCTTCAGCTTGCTTTGCGTAAGAACTCACAACTCTCCGACTATCAGCTTGGAAAGCGTCAGTCTTCGAAGAAGGACTCAAGTTTCTTTTGAACCCCCACCTTCAAGGTTTGATTGGCACGTTGTTCACGCGCAGCCATGATGCCCATACATCTAGATTGAACATGCGTGTGCTAGTTCACACGCCTCAAAACCCTTGCAGCAAGACCAGATCCTTCACGTGTGATTCTTCTGTTGCTCCATGGACAAGTCAACCAACAGAAATCCTTTCCAATGTTTAATTAAATATAAACCGATAGAATCTGTTCACTGCACACCCCCAAAAACGGCTCGAGCGTTCACTTCAGATACCTCCTCTTCTTGGCTTCAGCGTATGGCATAGAGCGAATCACCTCTGCTCGTTCTTCGCTGTCATTCCACCTGGAGCGGACCGATCCGAGGTATGATCACGCAGATCATTGCGCCAAGCAAAGCTCTGAAAGATTGCAAGGACAAGGACTGGCAGGGAGGGGCCTCATTTCTTTTTCGGAGTGCCGCATATTCGAGTCCAACCTGGGGAGATTTTGAATTGTCCACGGGGGACTGAAAGGTTCCATTGATCAACCCGCTTCCCAACACAGAGCTAAACTCAATGAACACAGCAAACAAAGAAGATGAATCTGGAAGGTTTCACATGTGTTTGGCGAACCGATGTGAGAACAAAAGCCAAGAAACTTTGCAAAGAATTCGATCTTTGCGATTCCATACGGTGTTGGTGCATATGCCTTCTTCTTGGGTACAACGGCGTCCTTGGTGTCCTTCAGACCGGTCTCCTCACCACCAGGCTCGTTCTCCTTGGATTTTTCATTGGGCGCCGCCTTAGGTTTAGGCGCGTCCTTAGCTAGACGGGCTTCTTTAATGGATGCCACTAGCAACCGTTGACGATGAGGGACGACAGGAACATGGCGTCCGTTTAGGCAAGCGTTCACCACATCCGAGGGGAGTGACGTTGGATTGGTCACGCTCGATAAAGAGAATGGTTCCTCATTGCAGCAAGGAAAGAAAAAGTTCCCTTTCTCATAGGTCCTTGGACACTGTTTGGAAAGGGAAAAAAATGAAGACTGAGATGCGTTTGAAGGGAAACCACCGTCAGCGAATTGGAGCTAGACTGCAAGCCATGTTTCGGGAGGCTCCTTCGATCGATACCGTCGCGTAGGCGGATCCTGCAAACTAAATCATGCCAAAGTGATTTCACCCCAAAACAAGGCCGCCCGAGCGAACAGTCCTTCGACCACATCCCAGGCCTAAGCCGGAGTTGGCATCCAAACATTCCACTTAAGCACCACGCTACAAAAAAACTGAGAATGTGGCTCGGGAGGGGTGTGAGAAGCCCCAGTTTCGAGCGCTTGGTCAGGTTTGGTGGGTCCCCAAGTCTTGTCTTCTTTGCCCTCACCCTCCCGCTTCCGCCATCCATCTTTCCAACCTTCAGCCCATGAGTTCTTGTTCTCCCACTCCACATCCTTGCCCCAGCCCCACTAGCCACCCCATCCATTATCTTCTTCTTTTTCTTCTCCCCATCCTGTGCTCTTCTCCATATCATCCCACCAGCCTCCACCCCAGCCCGTGGCCATTGTTTTGTCATTGACATCTTTCCCACCCTCATGGCCCTCTATTCCTTCTTCTTCTTCTTTTTCATTCTCATTCGCTACATCCACATCGGCTTTTCCCCCCCCTCCTCCATTCCAGCCCTTGGTCTCACAGCCAGCTGCCCAACTCTTTTCTTCCACCTCTTGATCCTTCTCCGTTTCCTTTTCGCCTGCCTTTGCTTCGTCTTCACTCTCCCCATCTCTGCCGCCACTCTGTTCATTGTGAGCGCTTGCATTCCAAAAAGAAGCCTTTTCACCACGGTCCCAGCCAGACCAAATTTCATTCCACCCTCTGTCATCACTGTCATCAATCTTGCCCTGACCATCAGCCTCTTTCAAGGCATTGGGCTCAGAGCTGGGACAACCCTTTGGTTCATCTTCAAAGATGTTACAATTCTTTCTTGTCAACGTTCCCTCAACTCCGGCCGGTGCTTTGTTGATGCCACTGTGAACTGTATGGTCGATCCCCCGATCCCAATCAACCCTATCATGGTCACCATTGTTTTTTGACCCGGGCCTGCTCTTCCCACCTGCCGCCGCCACCAGAACC